CTGTTCCCACAAAGTTGGAAACATAAAATTGTCCAAAAATGTCTTGGTATACTTACTTCCCTTCACTGGAAGTAAGGGGCCAAGCCCAACCCCTGAAAAACACCACCACACCATAATCCTCCACCAAACTTTACACAATGCAGTCAGGCAAGTAACGTTAACCTGGCAACCACCAAACCCAGAGACGTCCATCAGATTGCCTAACAGGCAGGCCAGTCAAGTCCTCCACCCCAAACTCGCTCATCTATGTCTTTATGGACCTTGCTTTGTGCACTGGTGCGGTCATGTTGGAAAAGGAAGAGGCCACCCCCAAACTGTTCCCACAAAGTTGGGAGCATGAAATTGTCCAAAATGTCTTGGTATGCCGACACCTTAACCAGTTCCCTTCATGGAACTAAGGGGCCAAGCCCAACACCATAATTCCCCCCTTCACCAAACTTTACACTTGGCACGATGAGTCAGGCAAGTACTGTTCTCCTGGCAACCGCCAAACCCAGACACGTCCATCAAATAGCCAGACAGAGAAGCATGATTCATCACTCTAGAGAACACGTCTCCACTGCTCTAGAGTCCAGTGGCAGCGTGCTTTACACCACTGCATCTGACACTTGGCACTGCACTTGGTGATGTAAGGCTTGGATTCAGCTGCTTGGACATGGAAACCCATTCCATGAAGCTCTCTACGCACTGTTGTGCTAATCTAAAGGCCACACTCTGCAGACAGCTGTTGAATTATGCGCACTGTGCGCTTCAGCATGCGCTGACCCCGCTGTAATTTTATGTGGCCTACCACTTCGTGGCTGAGTCGCTGTTCCCAGTTGCTTCCACTTTGTTATAATACCACTAACAGTTGACTGTGGAATATTTAGTAGCAAGGAAATTTCATGGATGGACTTATTGCACAGGTGACAACCTATCATGGTACCACGCTTGAATTCACTGAGCTGCTGAGAGCGACCCATTCTTTCACAAATGTTTGTAGGAGCAGTCTGCACGTCTGGCTGCATGACTTTATACACCTGTGGCTATGGAGGTGGTTAGAACACCAGAATCCAATGAATTGGAGGGGTGTCCACACACAACTGTAAATCTGCAGTGTTGTAGTTTTCTGTCAAATGCAATAGGGCTGTGTACAGACCAGCCCTCCAGTAATGTAATTTCCTGCTTGCGTGATTGGTGTATTGAAGCCCGGTCGATTTTCGTCCCATTTGTACACCAGTCTGACAGAAGAGGCATACTGGAAAATCCACATATGACCAGCGCTGGCAGCCAATGGTTGAGAGGGCAGATCCAGTTAGTTCGGTCTGGGGGAAATCCCCCTGTCAAAACACAATAGCTCAGTACACTGTGGATTGTTAGTACAGCTAACTCCTCCCACGCTCTTCAGTTTTTTTTTTTTTTTTCTCAGCCCGTTGGGTTGAAGGGAGAAAAAAAAAAAAAAAAAAAAAAAAACAATAAAAACTGATATAGTGTGTAGCCAGCATAAGATACAAGTCAGATTTTAAGCATCCCCTGCAGCAAAAGGGCCATTGTTTGGTACTCTCAAAGGGAATTCATGTCTAAAAAAGGATGCAAACCCTACCACTTTTCTTTAGAGCCTTGCAAGTGCAGAAGCCGAATGAAACGGGTGTGACCTTTTTAGAATTACCAATCTGCACATGGATACAAACCGCAATTCCTTCACAATAATAAGCAAGAATCTGCAACAGCTTGTTAAAATCCTTGAAAAGGTACATTGTTCAACCAGAGGGAATAGTTTTTTCACAAAAGCGGTGTTACGCGTTAAACACAAGTTTAACTTAATGCAGCTCACCCATCCTTAGATGTGATTGCTGCATTTGTTTTGGGTTTGTTTTTTTTCCCCCCTTTATTTTAACTTGGAGAACTTGCCAGAAGCACACTTCTGGTCATAGGATCATGCTCACTTTTAGGGCTTGTTCACACTTGACTAAATTTCTAACTCTTAGCAAACACTCCTATAGCCTTAGTATAGGTGTTAGGCTGGCATTAATGAGCTTTAGACAAGTGTTAAAAGCGTTTCCTATGTGCAGTTTTGAAGCGTTTTATAAGCGTTAAAACCTCACCACAAACTAAAAAAACTGTAATGTTATTAAAGCTTCACAAACCACATCACAAATGCCTGCCAGTGCGTTTGAGGAGAGTCACCATAGACTTGAATGGAAGATGCTGAAAGGCTTCAAACTCCTGACTGACACGAGGCTTCAATTTTGAAGCAAGGTGATGCTAACACTTCTTGTTTTGATAATGTGAACAGCACTGTGTGCTGCCCATAGTACCATTTGCATAGGCGTTTGAGGAGCATTAACGCCCCTCAAAAGCCTGCTTTCAAAGCCAGTGTGAACTAGACATATTAGGACTACAGAACATCTCCATCACTGACCATTTGCTTTAGGTCTAAATTCACATGAATTGAACCATTTGCAATTCGTTGCGGGAGACCCAGTGGGTTTTTTTTCCTGCTATTAGCTGTAGGCGGGAA